GGGTGTAACTTGGCGGGGAATTTACCTTACCAGGTTCTTTCTTTGGCTTTCTGTACGTCTGGTCGAAACTCTACTAATCAGCAAAATATTAGAAGAATCTGACATGTGAAGGGCAAAATTGTGCGATCTAGCATAGGAGTGTCCAGGTACTTCTTTTAAAACTTCTCAGTTTCTTAAACATTCTCATCGCAGGACCTAAAAGACCTTTTACCACTGTTCCAAATTACGAATTAGCAAAAACAGCTGCTATTTAAACGGTCCTAAGCTAGTGGCAAAGCATTGCTGATTTTGTTTTTATCCTCATGGCTTCAACTCCAGACTGTAAAACACTTCGTTATTCAAAAATAAGTTTGTTATTACGATCATATTTCCATTTTACATACAGCACCAAAAAAACATACAGTATACGCACTACAAAACAAAAACCAATAAGACATTGAAGCGAAAAAGTGAGATCAAAAAAAATTTGTCTTAGCAGATTCACAAACACTGCATAAATATCTATTTATGCGGAAGCATATTCAAAAAAGGATCACAAAAAAGCACCATACTCAACTTTGAAACAAAAGCATATCAGGAGTGACGTGGAAGAGGCGATATGTGCGCAAATGTATTACTAGAATCTTCTTCGGAAACTGCCAATTGAGACCTTCCTAAAGCAGAAACCCGATCTAAAAACTAGCCATTATTAACAGCTGAAAAAGTACAGCTTTTTTAACTGAATTTCAAACAAAATCCTCCAGATTACAGCACCTCATCCGTCCTCCGAATAAAATAATGAAAATCTCATTTCCTTCTATGCACAGAAAAACATTATTTTCAAGGTTCTATAGCACCATCCTACGCCTGTTTGCACACTTTTTTCACACCTCGCTAATCAGTGGTCTAGGCTAGCATATAGAATGCCAAGTAGAACACTTGGGAAACTGAATTTCTTGCCAAGTTACACCCCTCCACGGTCGCAAAATTTACCAGGTTGCTATTTGACACACGTATCTACAAAGACTTCTAATTCCACTAAACCTCAACAGAATTTGGGATTTTAAGTTCACTGGATTTTCCATGTTTTCCTCTTCCATATGCATATTAAATAATTTAACGGTGCTAAGTAGCTGTAGAGACGTAATAAAAATAAAATTCCAAATAAATATAAAAAAAAACATGAGTCTTCAAATTCGAATAAAAAAAAGTGGTAAAACTAATTTTTCAGATTCGAGTTACAAGCCAGAAAAGACCAAACAAAAAAACCCTCAGTTTCTACAGTAACTTTGCGCATTTTATACTTCGAATTATATTCATGAAAAAAACTGCTAAAATCCATCAAAAATCTGTGCTCTACCCTTCAGACTTATAGTTATACAAGCGATTATAACCTCAACTCATTTCGCTTTTAACAATGTATGCTGTAATTCTTTAAATCAACGAGGCTATAGCAATCTTACGAAAAACTTGAACCCAGCAGTTAACTGGTTAAAGCAGTAGGCTCCTAAGCTCCCTCGTGATGCCAAAATACGTACTAAATCCATAAATTTGGCATGAAGATGAGAAACGGAAAAAACTATAATAATGGCTACTTCTTACGGCACCAAAAAACTATAAATTGTCAATATTTCAAAATAAAATACAATTTTTGTAGCAAGCCTTAACATTTACAACACAGCGATGTTCCCGGGCCACCCCTAAGCTTTCAGAAGCAGCTGAAGACGGTACCACCGTTGTAAAATGTACAGGGTCACTGCAGAAACAGAATTTTTTATTTCATTCTTTTCTGGCATGTAACTCCTGGATATAGAACATCACCACCACGAATTTGTGACATATTGTGAAACAAAAAATTTTACACGAAACAAGCTTGTTTTTGAAAATTTAAAACCACATTTGTTCTTTTATATTTGTTTGAAGTTTTGTTTGTTTTATCTACAGAACTACTTAGCAGAAATAAATTATTCAAAAGAAAATCCATAACAAATCCAGCGGGCTTAAAAGCTCCAAATACGAGTCAGGTTTAGTTGAATTGTAGGTCTCTAAAAATAGGCATGTCAAGTAGCAACCTGCTAAACTTTACAACTTTGGAGGATATAATTTGGCGAGTATTTACTTCTCCACGTCCCTCTTTGGCATTCTGTATGCTGGCCTAGACTCTACTAACCATATGTCTGAGAAAATTTTAAAACTTAAAGTGAGTAAAATGTGCGAAAGGACATGAAATAGCCCTACAATAAAAAACATAAGCACATTGCGCAATTATTAGTACTTAAGGCAGTACCAGAACTATCTTCAAGGAATAATACAAAACCTTATAATGCAGCACCTCATTCGTTAGACTCCATATAATTTATCTAAAAAAATTTCAAAAACCGACATGGAAGAATGTTCTTTCTTTGCAGCAAACTCTGCGCATTGTGGAACACGGAATCTTTATCGGACGTCCAAGGAACAGGAACTGTTGGCCTCACTACCGTACCGCTAGCTTAATAACGACTTGTAATTTAAAAACAGATCTACCAAGAATCGACTAACTTTGCTTACAAATAATTTTCGATAATGAAGCTTTTTCTCAATCCAAATGTACTCAAAGCTGAACAAACAACTAAAAAACAGAAACTGTAGTTCAGGTTAGGCAATGAACAATGATGTTCCGCTCAATCGGTACCTTTTATAATTACTCCTCAAAATACAGCCTCAGATATCCGTACATAGATATCTAGCCAGATTTACAGCTCTATTCAATATATTTCGAGTATCTCTGTGTTGTAATTCCTCCGACGTCCGATTACAGGGTTATCCCAAAATCTGATTTGACTTCATTGCTTTCTGCAACGCCTGATCTCTCTTAAATTCCTCTAGTATAGATCCCTTCTTACATAACATTTGTCATTAGTTACACTCTGTTGAGAAGCTATTACACACTTAACCTTAGAGGCAGATTTGTAACAACGTCATAAGAGACAATTTTTGTCTCATGGTCAGAAACTTAGTCGTATATAATTACTTTTTACCTTCCCATCCATACTCACTCTCTATGATTAAGAAATTGTTGACCCTATAA